TCTAGATCTTGTCAAAGCAGCAGAAAATACCATAGTCCTCGGAGATTTTAACGCTAAAGTCGGCAAAGGACGCCGTTTGAACATTGTGGGGGAATATGGCTTGGGAAACAGAAACGAACATGGAGATCGACTTGTCCAGTTCTGTCAAGAACACGATTTCATTATATCAGAGGGCAAAATTATTAGGAATCAAATCGACTTCATTCTAATAAAAAATCGATTTAGAAACTGCATCAAATCAGTTAAAACTTATCCAGGTGCTGACATTGGGTCTGATCACAATCCCATAGTAGCTGTAACCCAATTAAAATTAAAAAAGGTGATCAAAAAGAAGTCTCGCAAAAAGATTGATACAGCCCAACTACAAGAGGAGAAAGTTAAGGAATCAGTTCAAAGACAACTGAACGAAAATTTAATTTGGGAAAATATTGGTGAAAACGTCGATGAGGGCTTAAATAAAATCGTAACGACAGTAAAAGAAATCTGTGTGAGAAATTTACAAGGCAGGTCTATGCCAAAAAAGCAGGCTTGGATGACAGATGATATACTGGATTTGATGGAACAACGGCGACTAGCAAAAACCAACGAAACACTTTACAATAGCATACAAAAAGAAATTCGACGTAAAATACGAGAAGCAAAGAGTCAACATCTAGCCAAATAGTGTCATAACATTGAAGAACTCGAAAAAAGATACGACACGTTTAACATGTATAAAAAAGTAAAAGAAGCGGCTGGTATCTTCAATAAGAAACAAAATGCATTGCTACAGGATGAAAATGGTAAAGTAATATTCGAAGTAGAGGACAAACTTAAAGAATGGGAAAATTACGTCACGAACCTATTCGAAGACGATAGGAGTAGTTCACCTCCCGATATTACTAACTGCGACGGACCCCTAATAACACGCTGTGAGGTTATAAAGGCCATACAATCATCAAAAGATGGCAGAGCGACTGGTCCTGATGAAATTCCAACTGAAATATATAAGCTTATAAAGGATAGCAATGTTTTAGAGGCTATAACTTCGTTTTTTCAATACCATTTATACCAGCGGACAACTACCTAATGGTTGGTCTAACTCACTGTTTATAGCTCTACCTAAGAAGACAACAGCAAAAACCTGTGCTGATTATAGAACCATCAGTTTGTTAAACCACTTATTGAAAATTTTTCTGAAGGTAATACATGGTCGTATCTACAATAAATGTGAGGAATACCTGGATGACACTCAGTTTGGTTTCCGTAACGGATTTGGAACGAGAGAGGCACTGTTTGGAATGAACGTACTTGCTCAAAGATGTCGTGATATATCTGTAGACATATACTGTTGTTTTATTGACTTTCAAAAAATCTTACTGATGCTCTAGATCTTGTCAAAGCAGCAGAAAATACCATAGTCCTCGGAGATTTTAACGCTAAAGTCGGCAAAGGACGCCGTTTGAACATTGTGGGGGAATATGGCTTGGGAAACAGAAACGAACATGGAGATCGACTTGTCCAGTTCTGTCAAGAACACGATTTCATTATATCAGAGGGCAAAATTATTAGGAATCAAATCGACTTCATTCTAATAAAAAATCGATTTAGAAACTGCATCAAATCAGTTAAAACTTATCCAGGTGCTGACATTGGGTCCGATCACAATCCCATAGTAGCTGTAACCCAATTAAAATTAAAAAAGGTGATCAAAAAGAAGTCTCGCAAAAAGATTGATACAGCCCAACTACAAGAGGAGAAAGTTAAGGAATCAGTTCAAAGACAACTGAAAGAAAATTTAATTTGGGAAAATATTGGTGAAAACGTCGATGAGGGCTTAAATAAAATCGTAACGACAGTAAAAGAAATCTGTGTGAGAAATTTACAAGGCAGGTCTATGCCAAAAAAGCAGGCTTGGATGACAGATGATATACTGGATTTGATGGAACAACGGCGACTAGCAAAAACCAACGAAACACTTTACAATAGCATACAAAAAGAAATTCGACGTAAAATACGAGAAGCAAAGAGTCAACATCTAGCCAAATAGTGTCATGACATTGAAGAACTCGAAAAAAGATACGACACGTTTAACATGTATAAAAAAGTAAAAGAAGCGGCTGGTATCTTCAATAAGAAACAAAATGCATTGCTACAGGATGAAAATAGTAAAGTAATATTCGAAGTAGAGGACAAACTTAAAGAATGGGAAAATTACGTCACGAACCTATTCGAAGACGATAGGAGTAGTTCACCTCCCGATATTACTAACTGCGACGGACCCCTAATAACACGCTGTGAGGTTATAAAGGCCATACAATCATCAAAAGATGGCAGAGCGACTGGTCCTGATGAAATTCCAACTGAAATATATAAGCTTATAAAGGATAGCAATGTTTTAGAGGCTATAACTTCGTTTTTCAATACCATTTATACCAGCGGACAACTACCTAATGGTTGGTCTAACTCACTGTTTATAGCTCTACCTAAGAAGACAACAGCAAAAACCTGTGCTGATTATAGAACCATCAGTTTGTTAAACCACTTATTGAAAATTTTTCTGAAGGTAATACATGGTCGTATCTACAATAAATGTGAGGAATACCTGGATGACACTCAGTTTGGTTTCCGTAACGGATTTGGAACGAGAGAGGCACTGTTTGGAATGAACGTACTTGCTCAAAGATGTCGTGATATATCTGTAGACATATACTGTTGTTTTATTGACTTTCAAAAAGCATTTGATCGTGTTAAACACTCTATACTGATCGAAGCTCTAAAAGACATAGGCTTGGACGGCAGAGATGTTCGAATAATTGCAAATTTATATTGGAATCAAACAACATCAGTTTTAGTAGATGGTGTGGAATCACAAGCTCTCAATATTAAAAGAGGAGTACGGCAGGGATGCCTCTTGTCACCCCTGCTTTTTAACGTTTACTCCGAAAGAATTTTCAGAAAAGCGCTTTCTGAAAAACAAGAAGGAATACTTGTGAACGGCGAAGTCATCAATAATTTGCGATATGCGGACGATACAGTACTCCTAGCTTCTAGTCAAGAAGATCTGCAAACACTACTTGATAGTGTCGTTGAGAGTTGTAGGGAGGCAGGTCTTGATCTGAACATAAGGAAAACCAAAATACTTGGTAATAAGTAAACAACAATATAAAACCGTCTATATATGTAAATAATACCAAACTTGAGCAAGTTGATAAAATCGTCTACCTTGGACAGCAATTAAATTGTAATGCAGAAAATCACAGCGAAATTAGATCCAGAATAGAGCAGGCTAGAGCTGCTTTTAGAAGGATGTCCAAGGTGTTATGTAACAGAGACCTAAAATTGGCATTAAGGATCCGCCTACTTCGCTGCTACGTGTTCTCGGTCTTACTTTATGCTGTCGAGTCCTGGACTGTGAATAAAATCGATCTAAATCGCCTTGAGGCTTTCGAAATGTGGTGCTATAGAAGAATTTTAAAAGTTTCCTGGGTGGCGAAGATTCGTAACTCCATAATACTTGAACGTCTCAGCAAGACTACTGAGATCATAAAAAGCATCAAGCAGAGAAAGCTGGAATATTTCGGACATGTAATGAGAGGTCCCAAATATAGATTGCTACAAAATATCATGCAAGGAAAAATAGCAGGCAAACGCAGTCCAGGACGAAGAAGAACCTCATGGCTGAAGAACTTGCGAGATTGGTATGGTGTAGATACAAGCATGCTATTTAGGGTGGCAGTGAATAAAATTAAAATAGCTATGATGGTAACCAACATTCTGAAAGGACATGGTACATGAAGAAGAAGAAGTGTTAACTGTGTATGTCTTAGACGTAGACGCGCAAGCACAATTTGTTCACGCCTGTTAACCGACGATGGAATCCATTAGGAAACATTATTCTTGATCTTATTCAGCTAAGAATTAATTTGAGACCACCCATTTCGTCACAAACACAACACTTTTAAAATAAGATTTTAAGTCACTGGAAACACACTTGTCTATAGGCTCCAAATAATCGCTTGTCGTGCAGTCCTGTCAGCTTCTTTGTTTCCCGTTATTCCGACGTGTGAAGGTATCCACAAAAATTGGACTCTTCTTCCATGTTGGTGAGCTTGGGACAGCTGGTATTTTAGTATCTTTTGAAAAGGATGTTTCGGAAAAATATGTTTTAATGATTTTAGAGAGTTAAGAGAATATGTTATGATCAGGGATTTTGGGAAGGTAAGCTCGTTAAAAAGATTTACAGCACGGTATATAGCGTAGAGCTCAGCTGAATATGCGCTACATACTGGGTCTGGGGCTAGACGGAAAAGAAGATTGTTTCCTAAGGAAACGATTGATGTCTCCACTCCGTCTTCGTACTTAGATGAATCTATGTAGATTTTATTGTGATCGAGGTACTTTTCTAAGAGGGCTTCGAACTTGAGCCGAATCAGGGAATTTTTTGTACTAGATTTATCGAAATAATCCAGAGATGTATCATATATTGGTAAATCGATCAGCCAAGGGTGAGGGTATTTAATTCTTTCGTAATAGTGATTGCATTAAGATGCCACAAGAAAATAGCTTCAGAATAATATTTCAAAACGTTCTATTTTTTTTTTATTCTTGAAGCTCATATTCACTCATAGTTTTCTAGAAACTCTCTAATCTGTCGATTCTGTATTATTAGTTTTACTACATTTTCTTGTTTTTACTTTTCACTTCTTTTTCTGTCTTGTTTGATAGCGTTTCACCAACAATATTTACCAGCAATATATTCATCACAATTCTCATTCCCTTTTAGATTCTCATTCAAGAGTTGTCTCCAAGTAGGTACTTGTTTACTGGATCGAACGCCTCATTTTTGACTACGTGGAGCTTTGGACTGCCTCTTTGGAACCATTTTAAAGAGTCAGTTTGTTTTGAGGCCACAGTTTGCTAACTCATGAGTTCATATTTCACATCACAGGTACTGCTGAATCAGTTGTCTACGTTGTGAGAATTTGCCACCAGTAAAAATAAAACAAACATAATAAATTATTTGAAATATATTAATATTTTTAAAGATCACATATACACAAATAAATTAACGTCAGTATATCTACAAAATACATACATAAACGCACTAAATTTGAAACAAATCTAAAATTTGTTACGCTTTTATAAATCATTTTTAATAGAAAATTTGGATAGTTATCAATTTTTTGCAAATTTTGTAATATTGTTTTATTTTAGTTTAAAAAATATGAAAAATAAACTAATTCCAACTCGCTTTATTAGTAAATTAGATATGGACAATTAGTGGTGGTTCGAAGAGGGTAATTTCAAATTCATTCCATATAAAAGGTTTGTTTTTGTTCATGGTGGTATTATCACATTTGTAACCAAAAAAGTACTAGTCTGCATCGCTACCATGTGAAGCGGATGAATAAATAAGCATAATGTTACAAAGTGCTAAGGACGGTCATATCTACATTCAAATTTAAAAAAAGAGAGACATATCGTCTGTCCTTTCAACAAAGCTTGTAGTCCAGATTAAGAAATCGCAATGTGCCTGCTTTGATTGTTAAGATTACCAAAGAAAATATTTTTGTAGGGTAAAATTTGTAAAGGTAGACTTTGGTTTAGGAAACTATGTGGAAAAGGGTGCCATGTTGACTTCAGAACATAGCTAAAATTATATTTAGGCTGCAGGCTAATTTTTCGTATAATTTCAAATTAAAACGAGAAAGACTGGAGACACATCGTTTCCTGTGGGAAAACCTGCAGTACCACCAAACTCATTTTTCATCGACTAAAAAATCGAAGCTCAGTTTTAAAGAAGGAAAACCATGGAATTAGTATTTTTGGATTTAAAAAGGATCTTATTTGTCGATTTTATAAATAAGGCGACGATCGTCAGTATTAGTGCCTGTTGTGGGATCCTAAAGAAGACAATAGAAGGAGCATGATTAGTCCTGGTTTATCTTCATTACAATGCCAAACTTCATATCGTCTGGCTTACGTAGAACACGTTTGGAAGAACAATATAACTCCCTTACTTTACTCTAACGACCTGATACCTTCGAAAAATTTGAATTAGAAAAATGTGTATACATTGGATGCCATGTTTCCAAAAAATCATATTTAGGTTGAAGGTAAATTTAAAAAATGTCAGTAGGGTACCTACAAAAGCTCTAAATTCATTCTCTATTAGTAAAAACAATCAAAGTTTGGTTTTCAAGTAGGAAAATCAGGGCAAGCATATTTTATGGCAGAAAAAGGATATAATTGGTCGATTTTATACACAAATCGACCTCCATCAACGTTGATTCTGCTTGTAAGGCTCTACACAGACAATTACTATTTTTATTGTGAATAGGCCACACTTTAAGTAACAAAAAACAAAATTTGTATCGAAACGTCAAAAATAAACTTATTTTAAACTTAAATTGTGGCTTATTCCCAATAAAAATGGTAATTTCATTAAAATGCCACAAGAAAATAGCTTCAGAACAATATCTAAACAGACAAAAAGAGATAAAAGAAAACAGAGTGCTTATTCCTTCATTGTAACGCCAGAGTTTACACCACAGCCAGAGTGTGACACCCACTCAATCCTCCTGACCTAATACACTTTGATATGGAATCACCACATTTTCACTAAATTGAAAAACCATGCTACTTCATACATGTAAATATGGTGAAATTCATTCGTAAGTCGAATATAAAAAAAAATCATATAAAATGCAATGAACTAAATGAATTGAAAAAAAAAAAACTAAAAATTTTCGCAAATTGGGACAAAACTTTTATACAGTTTTATAAAAATTGTTTGAGAGACCTATACACAAGAGAAAACATTATTCAGTGCGAATGCATAGACATTTTGTAAGCATTTACTTAAAAAATAAAAACCTTACGTTTCTTTGTATTCAATATTTACCATATTGAACACGTCAATTTCGAATCAAGCTTGACATTCTAGCTACAAAAACACTCTCTGAAGTTGAAATGCATTTTACCCGAAACAAATTACAAAAATCTAAATTTTATCATCTAACTTCTTTGTTTTCACTTTTGACATACTTTGGCGAAGTAACCTTACTTTTTGCGAGATGTTTTTCATGCAAATCTTTTAACATGTCCCAGAATACTAAACACAGAGCACCGTGTGGCGCAAGTCTCACATAACTGGCAGTCACGCCTTTGTAGAAGCCTCTTAAACCTTCTTTTTTGCCGATTTTGACGAAAGCGTCGAATATTCCGTTGTACAAAAGTCCTCTTCCGTTTTGGTCGACTCCTGCGAAGAAGGATAGTTAGTTATTTATTTTTTCCACATATTCTGCTGTTTATACAGCATCGAGCAATAAGACAAAAGAGGGAATGTAAAGGTAATGGGGGTAAACATATTGATAGACAGGAAGTGCTATTTTGAGAGGCCAGTTTAAACAAGGAAAGAGAATCTCTTTCCTTGTTTAAGAAATCAAATTTAGTTGGGTTATGTTATTGTTGATGTTATTGTTTGTCAAAACTGTCAAATGAAAGGTTATTTATATTTTCTATTGAAGTTTTTTAACAATTGTTTAACATTTTAGACTATTATTGTTATTAATTAATTAAAACTTTATTGTGTTCTAGTGTTTAAAAAAAGTATTTTAATAAATAATTTTAATAAATAAATAGATAAATATATAATATAAAATATTATGTAATATAAATAGATAAATTAGAACCCCTACACCACTGTATGATTATTGTCAAGTGTCATGAAATTTAAATTTGGCGCATTTGCATTTCCGGATATGTCCGCCATCAGAGGCCACTTTTTTGGTCTCCTTTTTATAACGATTAGATTCCCTCTTTTGTCTTATTGCTCGATGTTATACAGGTAACAAATTGAAAATTTCACAACCATAATAAATTTATGGTTGTAAATAATATGAAAAATCGGAAAGACAGCTCTCAGTTTTGGTTGTTAGATGGAAATATTCCTAGCAAGGGTAAATATTAATAATGTTAAATGTAGAGGGTGTTCAAATGGTACATAATTTAATTGAAAAGGATGTTTTAATTGAATCGTTCTTTTTAGAAACAACATGAGTCATTTTTGGCAATATTACATTTCTTCAGAAATTCGTTTTTTATACGTCAACGCAGCATTCTAAACAGAAACGATATCAGTCTCGACTTGCTGTGATAAATTACAGCTTAATATACATAGATAAATACCCATTCCATGTGAAAACCACATGAGTCATTGACTGATGTTGTTTTGGCGCGGAATTGTCATGTGTAAACAAAACTATCAAGATGGATGCAATAAATGACACAATAATGATCTGAATTTAGGAAAAAGTAAAAAAAAGAAGTAAAAAAGACAATTATAAAGGTAATGTTGTACCTGCAAGAAAACAGAGAGAAGACTGTCGATGAGTTGTAAGATTAAGATAGTTTTAAAACATAAAATTATTACATATTTTTTGTAGTTGTCGCTTGAAGTGCTTTGAAAAAGTTAATGCGGATGTAAGGGCTAAAATAGAACCATGCTTACCAAGAATTCATAAGATTTATACTTACAAGGGCTTATGGGAATGTGTGAAGTAAAAAAGAGACGACCTCGAAATGAAAATCCAAAGAATAGAAGATTGTCTGCAAAAAAGCTTTCATGGGAATTCACACTGTGAGTCATGAAAGAATTCGAAGAATTTCTAAGCTTCTTGTACGAAGAAAAGCACCACTAGATAAATGTGGAACATATTTCAAGGAATGCTAGTGCTGAAAATTTGAGAGAACAGATTAAGACTCATATTGGGAGTTTTCCCACTAAGATTTCACATTACACTGCAAAGAGAAGCAATACTTACAACAAAAAATTGAATGTGCCAATTATGCATGACCTATTTTGTGCGAAAATTATATAAAACAAAAAAGGAACCACCAGAAGAAATTAAATTCCAACTTAAGGTCAAAATAAAAAAATGTCAACTCAGAGCTGCAGCCCGAAATAAGCAAATCAGAAATAAAGAAGGCATTGAAAGAAATGAAAAACATTAAATCGCCTGGAAAAGATGGAATAACTGCAGAGATGCTGAAATATGGTGGAAAAGTGGTAATTAATACTCTACATTCCCTTTTTAACAAGGTATTAAAAGAAAAAAGAATCCCAAACAACTGGAAGGAATCAGTAACCATTATCCTACACAAGAAAGGGGATAAAGAATATATAAAAAACTACCGTCCTATAACACTCCTCAATGTAATGTATAAACTCCTAACAAAAATTTTAACTTATAGATTGACGACAAAATTCGATGGATACCAGTCGAAAGAATAAGCTGGTTTCAGAAAGGGATTCAGCACAAGTGACCATTTACTAAGTATGAAAATACTTATAGAACGAGCAAATGAATACCACATTCCTCTATATATGGCGTTCATAGATTTCGAAAAGGCTTTCGACAGTGTCGAACATTGGGCAGTGAAAAGTTCTTTGATTAACAGCCGAATTGACCACAGATATACATATACGGAACTAATAACCAATATATATATATATATATATATATATATATATATATATATATATATATATATATATATATATAAGGAAGCCAACACAACAATTAAAGTATATGAAGGAACAAAATCATTACAAATAAGTAGAGACGTGAGACAGGGTGATACAATATCACCGAAACTTTTCAATCAGGCTCTTGAAGATACTTTTAAAATATTAGAATGGGAAAACAAAGGTATAAAAATTTGTGGACAACGCTTGAACCATCTAAGGTACGCTGATGACATCGTATTGATAACCGATAAAAAAGAAGAATTATTTGAAATGATAAAAGAACTGGACGTAGAAACTGGAAAGATAGGCCTTAATATGAATTACAGCAAGACCAAAACTATAACAAATACAGATAAAGACATCACAATGAGAATCGGACAAGATGAAATAGAACAAGTTAAGGATTATATATATCTTGGTCAAACTATAAAACTTAACAAAGAGAACCAAACAGCAGAGATCAAGAGACGAGTTAGACTGGCATGGGCGGCATTTGGCAAACTAAGTTACATTCTTAAAAACAAAAGATATCCACAGCATCTTAAGACCAAAGTATATAATCAATACGTACTCCCTGTTCTTACTTATGGTTCCCAAACGTGGACATCTAGAAAAGCAAACATGGACAAAATCATAAAAACACAAAGAGCAATGGAAAGACAAATATTGCACATAAGACTAATGGATAAGAAGAGAAACGAGTGGATAAGAGAGAAAACAAAAGTGAGGGATGTTAGACAAGAAGTTGCAAAATTGAAATGGAGATTTACCGGACACAATATAAGACAAAAAGAAGACCGATGGAACAAAATTCTTATAAGTTGGAGACCGTGGAAATATAAACGAAGCAGAGGAAGGCCCCAAATGAGATGGGCAGATGATATCAAGAACCACGTGGGCTCTAGATGGATGACTGTAGCGACAGACAGAGAATAATGGAAAAGGATTGGGGAGGCCTATGTCCAAAGATGGACCGAAGAAGGCTAATTAGATAGATAGATTTTGTGCGAAATTTCCTGATAATAATAATACAGTGAAGTATAAATTGTATTTAAAGATTTTCAAGAAACATTTTTCTCTATCTTTTGGACGTCCACAGGTAGACACTTGCTGTGAATGTGAACAGTTAGAAATAAAAATTAAGAGTCCATCTTTGAGTCATCAAGTGCGCGGAATTATCTGTAGGTACATAAAAGACGTGCAAAGAAGTTCTACAATAGAATGGCAGAAATTGCAGAGATATGCGAGACAGATGCCACTATATATTATGTGGCCTGACGTTTGATTATATGCAAAATCTTCAACTTCCACTTATTCCTGTACAGGAGATTTTTACTTACATCAACTAACCTACAATGTCTTTGAAATTCACAATGTGCAAAAAAAAACAAGGGATGTTTTACACCTACCACGAGGGTCAAGCCAGAAAGGGTCCCAATCAAGTTGCTTCAATTTTTATGGATTATATCAAGTCTGAAGTGCCTACTGCCGTGAAACATCTTTGCTTATTTTCTGACAGTTGTGCCAGTCAAAACCGGAATCATACTGTAGTGAGATAGTGGAAGTTTTCAAACCATAAACCAGTACTTTCCACAACGTGGCCATTCCTTTTTGCCGAACGATACAAACTTTGTGGCAATAAAAAGAGTCATAAAAACGTTGGCCGTGTTTATCTCCCAAAAGAATAATATACAGATATGATAGTAAATTCTCCATGACACAAAAAGATTCTTGTTAAAATGGTGAAAATATCGAATATTTTTGAATTTTAAAAGTTGGTGGCCTAAACATTACAAAAAAACGTGTTTACCTACCGACTCAATGGACAGAAAAGAAAGGATAAAAAAATTACTTTACAGATTTCAAACTACTACAATTTTTTATTCTTCAAACCACCCAGAGACTGTAACAGTATCGGAATATACTAATGGTTTTATCACTAACAACTTTAAACTTAAAATAAATGAAAGAATTCCATTTTTACCAACAGTTCTCTCCTCTCCGGATGGTAAATTACCAATTAATAAAAAAAATTGAAGATATACGCAAGCTCATGGACTACATACCAGAGGAAAAAAGATCATTTTTTGAGGAGATTATGCAGTGGCCTACTACTGATGCAATGGATGATGATTAATGCTTATACTTTGTTTGACAGGCAATAAAATTTCCAAAAAAACTATTTTTTATTTCTGTTCGGAAACAACAAAGTAACTTTTTTTTTAAAACCATAATATGACTTAAGAAAAAACAATTTTTACAAAAAATATGTAATGCATAATGTACAGGATAGTTAAATATTATTTCAACAATTAATTTTACGGCAGTTTTTCTTACAGCGCTTTAAAACAGTTTTTTTTTGTGATTTACTCAAAGCTATAATTTCTGACTCATTATTGTTTCTGAAATGACCAATTCAATTAGTATGACTAATATAATATTTTTTGCTTAGCAGTTAACAAAAATATTTGAAAGAAGTAACTAGAATTTTTTAACACAAGATAAATGGTTGTAAAGTTAACAGTAGTAAATAAAAATTACTTTAATTTTATAATAATAACTTAATTAGCGAAAAAAAAAAACAATCAAAATAATACAGGTAAGTACGCACTATCTTAATAGTTCTTCAAACAATTTGACCTTTATTTTGATTTTAATTTTGACCCTTCATCGATGCAATGAAGAAAGAATGCAGCTTTAATTTCAGTAGTCATTTGATTTTTTCATTACACCCTGTAGGTAAACTATCACTAAACTATATGTCTTAAATGAAGAAGAGTTAATGGATGAAGATCTCTCACTATTTTGATAGGAGCCGTTCAAATAAAAATCCATTTGTTCTATTTAACCTTCAAATATGTTAATTAATTTTATATTTTTTTCAGGAATCCAAACGTTCCGTTCTCTTGATAACTTTTTACGATGAACTCACAATTCTTGCATTCCTTGAATCTACAATCCCCCTTATAACAATAGCTCTTAGACAAGGAAAGTCCTTATCTAAGCTCTGGCTGATGAGGTATGCAACTCTAAATACAAACAATAAAAAATATTGAGCAATTGAAAAAAGTTAGACAACTCATAATACATTCATCAATGATACAAAAAATATTCCACAGAATATTACGGATCGCGTTGATTTGAGCAGAAATTATTTCACAAAACTGTAGGTATTCTTCTATCAAAATTATCGTCCTAAAGGTTTTGAAGTATCTGCAATGTATAGGGACGAATGTCAGTGGCGTATGAAAAATTCTTTTGGTACATGTGTCATGTATGTACAATAATTATTTATTTTCGTTGTTACTTACATTTTAAAAAAATATATAATGACATGTAACATTGTAAAATTATTCACGTCGGACATTATAGCTCTGCCATTATGTGTCGTCAGTTCCGTTGTCTATCGTCTACATGTAAAAATATCAACATGCTCCATCCTTACTATATTATATCTAACAACGAAACTTATGCTTTTTTATTGCTTGTGTTACGTAATGGATGGAGTACCATCCTGCATGCACAAGTTCCAAAGACTTCATAAATAAAAATAATTCAAATTCTTCTTGAGGGAATTACACCAGTTTCACATTATTTTCACTTACCTATTACAGTTATCAAAGCATCCTAACAAGTACAACTCAATCGTTAAAGTATTTTGTGCTTGAAAAAATGCCACTTTCGAATATTTTTGAAGGAGTAGCAAAAACGGAAGACTCGATAGAATTTCATCTATAAGATTTACAAAAGCAACACTTAATACACGCAAATTTTATACCATCGAAACTTATATAATATTATATAACTTTTTGATTGTTCTTTTACGTCTGGAACATTATTAATTTGCATTTAAACTAAAATAAGTCTCAATAAAATAATTTTTATTTACATAATAACTTTAAACTTATTAATCTCACCCCCAAAATATTAACCTTAACACCAAATTATGTGTCAATTAACCCTTCTTCCTATTTTAATTACCTTTGAACCGTGAGAGCTGAAAATATTCACAAAAAGTTTCTTCCCTCACAAAAAAAATTGACTTGCTCTTCAAATTATTTACAGGAGTCAAGTTATTAACGGTGGAAAGTTTTCAAATTGTCACCCTGAATTTATATAAAATAATAATGTTAATTTACCTTGATTATATAGTCGAACAGACACCAAATCGAATGGATTCATCAATATACACTGGAATACACCTCCTATAATACTGGCAACGAACGAAGTCACTATGGGATATCTGACAAACACTTCATAATCTCTCAGCATATCTTTGGTTATAGCAAAGGATGTTAGTTGCGCTGAGGAGCCTACGACTGCTCTTAGGACCACTGCGTTGCCTCCTCTCCACAATCCAGATATCTAAAACAACATAAGTGATGAAAATATAACAATATACAACTGGTATGTTTAACTGGGCTAATTTTTCACTGAGTTTTTTTCCGATTAGAAAGTCCTTTTTCTTTGGATACTAATTTGTATAGTGTCATTTTAATAAAGCTCATTGTGCCATAAAATCAAATAAAATTAAATAATATTTTTTGTTGTATTTAAAAATTCTCTTTAAAAGGTATATATATATATATATATATATATATATATATATATATATATATATATATATTATATATATATATATATATATATATATATTGTTATGATATGTAAAATCGAGAAAAATATTGGTTTGCTTAAAATATTTCAAAGTTACAAAAAAATTAAAATAATTCAGATAAGTAGGATAATAAACAACAAACATTTCGAAGAATGAAAGTCTTTTAATTTTGGATTACCTGTATTAAACAGAACGTAAGATATGCATAAATTATTTTCTTTGTAAAATATATTTTAGTGACGTGAATGGGCTTAAGTGAAATCCTAGACAATGGATGCGGGTTTTCCAAATAAATTTGTGCAGTAATTAGGACAATAGAATAGATTTTAGAAAGATATGTTTTTGTTAGTTCATAAAAATTTGTAGAAAAATATTAGTTCTAAATAAGTTTTAGGAAATTTTATAATTGTAGGTAAAAATTTGTTTGTGTTATCGAAATGAAGAAATGGGAGATGTATGACGCGTTTTGATTGGATGAGATTGAAAAAGGTGGGATAGTTGATTTGAGAATGAGACGTTAGTTAGTTCTGGAAGAAAAAAATGATAGTCAGTTGATTTCCAAGGGTGGAAGGCGAACGGCCGTTGTTCTCGGGTAGTTTCCCAGAGGTAGGAAGCAGTAGCAGTGAAAGTTTGTGACTTTTCGTGTAGTTAGTGTATCTGACAGAAGCTGATCCAGTAAAAGATTGTAAGTTATATTTTCTACTTATATTCCACGAGTCATTGTTCAGGCCAACGAGAGATTCAGTTTATCGTAAAGAGAAGATATTCCAAGAGTCATTTTTCACTCAGGCCAACGAGAGATTCAGTTTATTGAGAGGAGAAGCAGCTAGCATAATTTGAACGATTCGTGCATTTGAAGGAGATCATTAAGGACGATAAACTTGCAATAATTTGTTGTAAGATTGATGATTACCTAGGGAGCTGCTAAGAATAGATAGTGTAGGCTACAAGGAACAAGGATTTGGACCACTCATCATCATAGAGAGATAGTTTTATTTTTCTGCAGTTTTTCTTTCATTGATAACACAATTTTTACAATTACTTTGGAAAAGATATAAATATTTTGATTGGGAGATTTAGAATAATAATTGGGATTTTGAGATTTTAACTAATATTGTTTGTACCATTAATTTTGAAGGTTCACGTACGTAGAACAAAATTTTGAGAATCATTATATGAGATATTGTTTATTGAAAACATTTGAGTGTAAATTTTATTTCAATATATAATGTTAGATCCTATATGTTTTTTATTATTCCGGTATTCTTTGGACCTTACCTTTCACATGTAATAGCATAGATATTGAAGCACGAATATAACCCTGAGATAAGAGAATTAAAAAGTGTGATAGAATCATAGTCATATCATTTAAATAATTTTAATTAATTAATTAATTAATAAAAGACTTTAAATATCACAATAATATATATATATATATATATATATATATATATATATATATATATATATATATATATATATATATATATATAATCGAAAACCTCTCTACCCTAAGGTGTGAGGTAAATACAATACAATACAATACAATTACAGGTTACAGATATACATTACATCTCAAATCCAATGAAAATATTTATTCTATTAAATTTATTCTATTCTGTGCACGAATTTTGTCCATTCTTTCTTGTTTTTTTGCCTTATTTTGAGCTTCTGACCATTCCAATCCCCTACTTTTCAAAATCTGCCCTACTTCGTCATCCCAAGTTTTCCGTGGTCTGCCTCTGATTTTAAACCTTTTCACTTTAGCCTTCCAGACTTGCTTAACGGGTCGGTTGTCGCTCATTCTGCACAAATGACCAAACCATTTTATTTGTCGTGTTTCAATAGCATGTAGTACTGATTCTGTGCCCAGTTCTTCTCTAACATCTTCATTTCTTATTTTGTCTCGTCGTGTTATTCCTTTGACTCGTCTTAGATATTTCATATCAATGGCTTGTATCTTGCTTTTTAATTGTTAAAACCCAGCTCTCGCTTCCATATATCAAGATTGGTCGGAATACTGTCTTATAAACTGTCATTTTGGTTCTTCTGCTGATTTCCAGTTTACGTATGAATGCTCTACTGGGATTATGGTACACTTTTGAAGCACTACTGATTCTTTCTGTTACTTCATTCTGCATGGTACCTTCTCTGTCTATTGTAACCCCTAGGTATTTGAATGCATCTACTTGTTCTATGAGTTGTTGGTTAATTTCTATGTTAACTCTATAAAAGGTATATAATTAAAAAGACTCTTTCGGGCTACACCACAAAAAGTCTTTGGACTTCAGAAATTTATCGTTGAGAACGATTTCCGAAATGGAAATTGAAACGCCAATAAACTTAAACTTAAATTGTGGCTTATTCCCAATAACAATAGTAACTGCAGTATAAAAAAATAAATAAAACTTACCCCATCTTTATGGTAAATACTTCTAAACGCAGCAAAGGCTCCCTTGTGACCGTGCTGTGTGCCTACGGATATACTATCCGCAGCTTGTGATTGGAGTTGTGTCTTAACTAGAAAGAGAGGACTACCCAAAAATGCTCCTGCCGCTCCGGCAAAGGCGCTTGCTAAGGCACTGCGGTAAAAAATAGTTTTTCCATGTTCGTTGGTTAAGTATTCTTTCTTATGTAGCCATTGATAGATACCTGGAGTAAACAGAATAAGATTATAATACTTGATATTATTTGTCTAGTTGAATTTTAGAAGAACTTCATCAAATGTTTCAACACTTACCAAGTCTGGTACTGTTTCTGACAGAATGCATCAGTATAGCAGTTCCGAGTCCCTTCTGAAGCCCTCGAATGCCTTCATTTTTCGCTATGACCCAACCAGCGTGGAAGACGTTTTTGTAAAAAACTTGGTGTTTCCCTCTGGCTTGTAGTTCTCCTTGCAATTGCATGCGTGTCTTGACCACATCGAAGGGGTTGCTAAATATGGATGCCCCGCTGGCTGCCAAACCCCCGATCACGAAATCCATGACTCTTTGTTACTTAACTATTCTTAAATGCAAAAATAATTATGTCAAAATACAATTTATATAATAGAATTATTATTTTTTATTTCTTTTTCTGTATGCGATCTACTTCTCTTGTTATATTTGTAAGGACGACTCTACAAATTGTTTCTATAGATGTCACTATGAACTTCTTTGACAAGAAGAATACATTCTATAAAAATTAATTATAACAAGAAAATGAGCTTCAAGATAATTAAATATATTCAGAATATCAAGTAAATAATACATCATTGGAATTGTAGTAGAAGAAATTGAAATATCAAGGAAATCAAGAGTACAAAAAAAGTTAGTTCAGAAAACCCAATGTACACATCTTCACTAATCTTTAAAGCATATAACTAAAGGGCGGATAATATAACATTCACCTTATGGGGGCCAATAAATACCTTCGATACTGAATTAGATACTGAACCGCAACCTGTGGACTATCAAAGAAAATGAACAACAATAGCTGGAAAATAACTTTTCCTCGTCAGTGAATTAGGCCTAAGGGTGATACCACTTAAGAAACGTGCCTCCAGACTCTACCGCATAGGTGGTCGGGAAAAAGTTCGATAAAAACGGGCCACTCACGTTCCGATTTTTAGTCCCACTAGTGGTTCAACTTGCGCAGTTGGATCTAAAATCGGACCGTGAGTGGGCTGGTTGGATTATTTGGATAACTATTAGTACGAGTCGGAACATCTAGAGGAAACACTTGCAGGTCCGACTTCTGACAAGCGACAAAGTGGGAGCGTGAATGGTGAAGTTTGAGTTGGAAGTCGGATCACAGGTCGGATCGAAAATTTCCTCAGTCAGTTGACCTTCGGCACCTGTTACGTATGAGATTTCTATGAATTACTTTACGCAAAGCTACCTAGTTTGCAAATATTTAATAGAAAATAAACTTTCAATTGCACGAAAATTACCCCTATTAAAATACGCGATTCTTCATCATCATCTACTTTTTGTTAGATTTTTGTAGATCTATTTCGGACACTCCCACACAGGTACAATTTCCAACACTCCGGATTGGCTACAGAAAAATTATCAACAAACGATATTGCCAATATGGTTGAGTTGCGCTCCAGGGACGACTTTACTTATAAGATAGTTCATTCGATTACATGAAATTAACTTTAACTTGAGAATATCCGTCAGAAACATCAATATCATTTTAAAGTCATCTATAACCCGACAAACGAGAGCTGGCGGGTTGCGTGTAGAACAAATTGAAAAGTGGAAGGGATTGCTCATTTCTATTGCAGTCGGCTAGGAGTTCACATCGTGTATAACCGTTTAAGTACCTATACTATATACCTATAATCGCGATTAAGTACCTCTCTTATCTCTCTTAGAATAATTTCTTTTCTATTTTCGGGCAGCTCACCCGCCAGCTCTCGCTTGTCGGATTATACTTTAAAATGCATAATGAGTCAGATAAAATTAAATTATTACGTCAATAAACGTATTTTAGTTCATTTTATATTATAAATGAACTAGTTCCGAAAATGAAATGGAACTAGTTCCGAGGAACTATTAACGTCACTGCTGATCTGATATTTGATACCGTCAGTTGTGCGAACTGCATCTCTAAGTATTTCTTCGATCGACGAAAACGAAAAACGAGCTAGTTCCGAGCCGATGAACTAAGATAGTACCAAGGAACCGTATGATAATCGTGATCGGTTCGCTATGCTATGCTTGATCGTTGGCTCATGGCTATCAGCTTCAGCTTGTTGTAGGTACATACGTAGAGTTAATGGATTTTGGGAACAGCTATGACCTTGAAAATGCCACAAAGAATATAACTAAATCTCTTTTCCTACTAAGAATCTTTAAAGTCTTTTACAATATTTTAGAATCGAAGATATGTAATTATATTATTAATGTGCTCTATATATCTCTATCTGCAAAATCCATTACCTCTATATACATATAGCTTCGATTAATTTATTATAATTGTCTGTAGTAGCCGTGTCTCGTATAAGAGAAGAAAAAAAGGTTTAAACAATTTGGCGGTATTTACTCAATTATCCTTGAGTAATTATGGCGGTTATTCCAAAAATACTTTGATGATGATATTTGAGTAGTAATAACGTTAGTTATTAACGAAGTTGTCCATTCTGAGGTGGTTTTTGTAATCATCCTCATCAATGACATTAAGCAATTTCGTTCACAATAGTTCACACGATCAACAAATAATTTCTTCATCCAACATTTTTTCTTCTTTTTTTAAATGATACGGATAACAAGCCCAATGCTGCCATTTTCCTCCTTCTAATTACATTTTTCGGTTAAGCGATGTACACCGCCGTGAAAACAAACTAGAACTGAAGCTAGGCAGACCGCTAGTTGGATAGCAAGTCGGGGCGTGAGTGGAGACAAATATCCAACTAGTAGTCCTACTAAGTGGGACCGCAAGTCGGAACCTGAATACCCAGTTTAATAAATTAATATCATAAGAATGTTAATAAAATAATAAATTATACAAATAAAAAATATATAATAAAACACTAAGCCTAATGGTTCGTTTTAATCTTATTCTTATGAGTATTGAAGAATTGGAGTAATTAATATTGTTCTGAAGCTATTTTCTTGTGGCATTGTAAATTAATTACTATTTATAACTGGGAATAAGCCACATTAAAGATAAAAATACATTTATTGACGTTTCAATTTCCAATTCGGAAATCGTTCTCAAAATACAAATAGTAAATTAAACAAATTTTGTTTTTTGTTACATAGTGAAAAAATTCTTCTGCTAATTTAATTTTATCTGACTCATTTATATTGACAATTCAGACATACATTATGCATTTTAAAGTAGACGACTTTAAAATGATATTGCCAATATTGTTGAGTTGCGCTCCTGGGACGACTTTACTTATAAGATAGTTCATTCGATTACATGAAATCAACTTTAACTTGAGAATATCCGTCAGAAAAAATCATAGCATGTAATTCGTCTTTAAAAAGACAAACATATGACATGATGACAGTAAAATTCTCCTGTTAGTGATTCCATAGTAAATTATGAGGGAAAAACCAGGAAAAAAACCTCACAATACTATCCCGACATTGTAAGTATTTGTTCGTGAATTTAGTTTACCTTCAACAAACATCAAAATTCTGATTTTATGTTACGTTATTTAAAAAACATAAATGATGTATCCTCCATATGTTACTGACTTACTAATACTGGTATTTTCTTATTAATAACTTCCTCTTTCAATATTGGTAACCAGATCCTACTACATTCTGCTGAGGAATTTGCGACACAATTGGCCTCATTTAGCATAATTAGAGCCGCTTCTTTGATTTTTCTTTTTTTACCATCCGTTTCTTTTAGGACTATATTTGAATTATTCCATTGAACTCTATGTTCATTATCCCATGCGTGTTTACATATTTGAGATCTATCAAATTCTCTATTTTTAATATAAGATTGATGTTAATTGATTTTTAATATAAGTAATTAAGTAAACAAAACTGTAGTGAAAATTACTCTACGAAAAACCCTCTATAGTATTGCTCTGACGCCATTTTATTGAAGAATGACCAGAAAAAAGTTATAATGCCCAAAATAGTTAGTTTTGTTTATAATTTTTTTATTTTCAATTTTACGATAAAAAGTAATACAAATAAAGTTGTGTAGAAAATTTAATTTGCTACAAATAATGCTTCATAAAATTTTCTGTAGGATTGCTAATTTACGATATACAGCGCGAAAATTTTTTGCAACTCTTTTCCAAGATGTCCGGGGTCAAGAGGGGCGACCTCACAAAGTTAAACTTAAGCTTATACTAATCACCCCCAGACATCAAAAAATAAAATTGCTTCCTTTCAAAAATGTAATCTGCATTTAATTTACTTGTATATACAGACTATGTATATTACAGAATATACAGACATCACGAACTATGAAGTGGGTTGTCGAATGACTAGGTATATGATATCACGAACATCTCCTGAGTCTGTATCAAACGAAAATCTGGAACTTTATCAAATAAAACATGGTATTCAATAAAGAAAAATTAATTCATCGTTATTTAAGTTAAGTTTTTTATAGTAATAAGTTATAATGAAATATAACTTTTATCATATACTACTTACAAAACCTAGTTTCCAATAGAACTAATCATCAAAAGAACTTTTTATACCTTAATTTTACGTGAGTTGTACCAGTAGACACAGCTAATTCTGCACACACTCATGCGCAAAAAACAAATAGTAAATTTTGTAAGAATTGTAGTAGAAATAGAAAATAATCATTCAGAAACATAAACATGAATTGGATTAAAAATACATCATCGAATGGAATGTAGATGATTGTGAGAATTGTGTAATATTTTTATTCTGTTTCATTTCCGTGAAGCGAGATAAATATACTTTTTCAAAATTAAAATTTTATCACAGTATAGTTTATTATAATTTATAACAAGCAAATCCTGAAGTTGTATTTGAAAAGCGGTCTAGAAACACGTGATTTATCACATCTAGAAGCTGATATTTTACTAGTGTGGTGTGGTACCTACTACTTTAAAAATGCGATTATTAAAACAGCTAATTTTAATAATTGACGATTCTTGTACATTACTTAATGTTTGTTTTTGCCACAGTAACCAACATTTCTTATAGTTTTAAATACAATACAAACCACTTACCCTAATTACATGGTATTAATACTTCATTAGATATTTTTAATTGCATCCTGCAATATTTTCTATAATAGTTCTAATCACAAAACTCCATTCTAAAGGTCCATAACCTAAAAATCGTAAAACATCTATTTTTAAGCCACCTGATTTCTGTCAGTTAAGTAAGAAAAGAGAAATGTCTAGTTGCTACGCACTACTAGATTCTGTAGTTAAAACTAATAGAAATGTCCGTGAACAATGTACCTACTCGTTATTACGCAATATTTGGTGAAAGATAAACTAATTACATCAGATGCTAATTATGTTTTAAGTATCTGAGATGTGATATAGATATGATTTTTTCATATGACCATTGTTATCTTAAAATTAGAACTGATTAGAAGTTTACCTAATGGAAGTTTTCAAATATTTCTCACTTAGCATAGTAACTACTTCGGCATTAAAGATATAGTACATTCAAACTTACTCGGACTCAATCCTTAAAGTCTCTTACTCTTATTCATTATAAACACCCAGACCTACTAGTGATCGCGGATCAATAGGTAAATTCTGTTTGATTCACAGCTTTTCGTTTACGTACTGAGCCTTTCTCCAAACAGGAAAGCATTTCTTCTTTTTTAGCTGAAACTCAAAATTAGATCACAAACTTAAACCATTTTTAAGCCTTATTTTATGTTGTGGCGATACAACATTCTGAAAATATCTAGAGAGTGTTATAAAGACTTCTATACCAGGCAAAGACCACAGGACAATTTCCCCGAAACGAGTAAGCACTCTCATAAATCAGGAATATGAAGTACTTTTTTCCTCCATAGCGTCAGAAATAAGAGTAGCTTTAAAGGAAATAAAGAACCATCGGTTATCGGAGGCAGGCATCTCTGATTTATAAATTGAAAATCGAAAAGTTAATAGAGTATGAGTAGGAATTTAAATGCTGTATCGCAAATATCCAATAGCAGAAGTGATGCCTCGGAACAGGAATGACTTCATTACAGATAAGAAGAGGACAATGAATTTATAAAAAAAGCGGGAAATATACTTCGCATCAGTAGGTACTTGGAACGTAAAGTATCTAAACACAAAAGAGCAGGAAAATACAAAAGAGCTTGTAGAAAAAAAATATAGTCATATGCACACTACAAGAGAGGAAGAAACAAGATAAGGGTCAGATTATGCTAGATGACTATATGATGATTTACAGTGGTGTTGCAAAAGAAACGAGAGTCAAAGAAGGAGTCGCCATGTTTGCACACAGAAGAGCTTTGCATCAAGTACAAGAATGTAAATATACCTCTGAAAGAATAGTAAGTGTAAAAGTTCAACTGGATCTCAAACCTCTGTATATGATAGCAATCTATGCGCCAGAGAACAACAGAGATACCACCACAAGGGAAAATTTCTACGACTTTTTTAGACTGTAATAAACGAGATCCCAAATGATGAATATATACTCATTATGACTGATTTTAACGTCCATATTGACAATGATATAATTACAGGAATAAAGTAGCGATATAATGAAAGTATTAGAAATAAACGGACACCTTCTGACGGACGTCTGCAGCATAAAAGAAATACCTATTAATAATACGTTTTTCCCTCACAAAGAACAATACAAACACACTTTTAAAAACAATAGAGGACAAAGATCTATGATAAACCATATTCTGTCGAATAGAGAGATACAGCACAAGATTTACATAAACAACTTCACAAAATCTAGACAAATCACTACTTAAACCTATACAAATACTTACAGTCGTCAAACAAGAGATTGATAACCAGTGAGTATGTTCACACTCATCCTGTTTGTCCTGAGTGTCTATGACTATATATAATCACCCTATTAAAACTACTGAGGAACTCAGGGAAGCAGCTGCGAGTGCATGGAACAATTACGGTTACCTGAACGACGAATCCCTTAAATCACTTGACATACTCTACACTCACACGACACAAAATACACGATAAATCACATCCCAACCAAATTCTGCAGCCAAACCCCACTAATTCTAATCATTCCGGACATGTTAGATGACGAAAACCATTTCTGTGCAGTCTACGTGAACAAATGGGAAAAAATAACCTATCTTTACACAACAAACCCCATCAATATCTTCAGTGCCAGAAAACATCACACAAACATACCTAAACATACGCATTCATTCACAATACTGCAATCAACGCAGATTTAACCAATTATTTAAAACTCAAAATCTACCCGGCTCAAAATTCGAGTCCCTTACAGTCAACTTTCCCGACAAATCCGTCACACTTACAACCAAATCCAAAATCAACACATCCCTACAAAAATACCTCATGTCTCATATCGAAGACGATAACATTACACTACTGAACCTTCACCCTTAATCGTACAACCAATACTTACAAAACGAAATACATTAAAAGTTAAAGACACAAAAATTATGCGTTAAAATAACATTTGACCTACCCAAAACAGACGCCTATGATCGGTACTAGATTCGCAATTGATGGAATCAATCCAACTCTGGATGATAAATAATCGTATCAGTTTTCGTATTTCCAACTAGAAGTGTTCTGGAAGTATTGAAAAAAAAAAGAAAATAATTACAAGGCGCCATTAACATTAATACTACTAACAACTGCGTACTCCGTTAATTAAATGAAAAACGGGCTATCTCCAGGACCTGACAATATAGCTGTAGAGTTACTTAAAGCAGGAGGTCCACTTCTAATAGAACGAATAACTTTTAATGAATCAATGCTGCCAACAAATTAAAATACCATCTGAATAGAAAACCGCTCATCAAGTGTCCATCTTTAAGGGTAATCGAAAAGATCCTAATTGATTATGTGTCCTACCTACTTTCGGGAGATTTTTTGGAAAGATAATAAATGGGGAAATACAAAATGATGTAGGACATCTAGTTAGCGAAGACCAAAGTGGATCTACGCCTGGTAGATCTTGCACTGATAACTTGTTTATACTCCAACAATTAATAGAAAAAAGAATAGCGGTTAGTACCGAAGTACATCTAGCCTTCATCGACCTAGAAAAAGCGTATGATACAGTTCCAAGACTTAAATTGTGGCAAGATTTACAACAACTCGGCATTAGTCAATACCTTTTAGGAATAATCACATAAGTATACAGAGATAACACTACCTACCTAAAAATCGGAAATAGACTATCAGAGCCAATAAAAGTAACTAAAGGACTAAAACAAGGATGCAGTATGTTAACCTTACTGTTTAATTTATATATTGATGCAGTCCTCCAAAATTGGAAAAGCCACTGCCAGGGAATGGGAATCCCCATAGGAAATGACGTACTGTTTTTCCTGAACTTTGTGGATGACCAAGTCGTCCTAACTCAAGATTCTTATGATCTAGAATTTATGATAATGCTTCTATACGAGAATATGTAAAATGGGGGTTACAAGTCAACCTGAAGAAAACAAAATATTTAGTTACCAATTCAGATGCAAGGTGTGAAGTGTTGATAGACGAGGACGTGGAAATCAAACAAGTGGAAAAATTTAAATATTTAGGTGAACTCATTGATAAGCATGGCTTGAGAGAAACCGAAATTAAACACCAAATTAATCAGGGACGTAAAATTGTAGGGTGTCTGAACTCCTTATGGTGGGATAGCAACATTTCCAAAAGGAACAAAAAAAGAATAGGGCAAACCATGGTTGAATCAGTTCTTTGTTATGGCTCTGAAGTATGGACAATTAATGCAGACCTGAAGAGAAGATTTTTGGCAGTTGAAATGGATTATTTGAGAAGTGCTAGAACAACAAGGCTGGAAAGGAAGACCAACGAATCTATAAGAAATAACATAAATGCTACAGAAACGGTCATTGACAGCATAGAAAGAAGATGTTTAAAATGGTTTGGACACCTATTGAGAATGCCTGAGGAACGTTCGCCCCAAAAACTTCACAGATGGAAGCCCTCTGGAAGAAGAAAAGCCCATTGGAGGAGAAGCATGCCTTGGACCGGTAGGATTGGCGGAGGAGAACGGGAATACGGCAATAGCAGTCTTATTGTACTTACAAGTTGGATCCTGTCAACCACATATTCATCACCCATATTTCCCCATCATTCGTTTTTTCCCTTATAGGATAACGTGAGAGTTAAACACATAAAAATTGTAACAAGAATATATCTTTATTTATAAAAATACAGTAAATATTATAAATTAATTAATATGGATGGATGCGTCTGTAAGTAACTTTAAAAATTTAATTCACTGTTTATTAAATGATAATGATAATGATAATCTACAGCTTAAGATCCTGTAAAATACTACAAGGTAAATGATAATAATGCAATGGATTTTTGTTTATTTTATTACGATATGTAAAGTAATGTACATATATTATGCCATACTCGTTTTGCAAAAAAAATATTATTAAGTCAAATATTCGAAAAAAGAGTAAAAATTATTAAAATTCACTATAGCAACATGCTGCACGTTAAACTTATGGTACTTCGACTAAAAAATACTGAAGATAATTGAAAACAAGGAAATACATAATATAAAACTGTTTTAAAATATTAAACCTATATTATTCTCTATTACTTTGAGCTTGTCTGATATTTACATAACTTAAAATTAACTAAACTAGTTTATTAGTAATTCTAAATTCTTGACTTTGGTTTAAAGCTTCCATTAGTTTAATCTCAGTTCTGAAGTCTTGAATTTGGCGTAGAGGTGGTTCAGTTCGTCCCAAAATACTAAACATAATACAGTGTGTGGTCCTAATCGGAGGTACATTGGTCCGACACCTTTGTAGAATGCAGATACACCTTCGGTTTTGTAAATTTTCCTCACACAGTCCAAGTAACTGTTGTATATCGTTCCTTTACCACTAGCATCGGTGGCTAAAAATATTATTAAAATGTTAGTATATTGTAATATACTAAGAAATAAATTTTATGAAGCCATGGATGAATTCCACATCCCCGATAAACTGAAAAGATTGGTTAAGGCTACAATGCGTAAAGTTGTTTGCAAAGTCGAAATACAGGGTGAACAATCACAGGCATTTGAAACGCATGTTGGGCTGCAACAGGGAGATGCGCTGGCGTGTCTCCTTTTCAACATAACTCTGGAAAAGGCGGTCAGGGATGCCCAAATAGACAACAGAGGAAACATTTTTAATAAATCATCCCAAATTTTGGCATATGCTGACAGATGATGCTGACCTAGTTGCCCGCACAACACGCAAACTAGAGGAAATGTATACCACCTTGTCAAATGCCTCAAAAAATATGGGCCTGCAAGTAAATGAGGAGAAAACTACGATAATGGCATCAACATCTAAAGACACAACACCTAACCTAACCTAACCTAACCCAACAATAGAGCCAGAAACATCGGCCACCAATTCACTGTTGATAACTCGACCTTTGAAGTAGTGGACAAATTCACATACTTAGGCTCCCTGATCACCAGGGAGAACGTCATGACGGAAGAAATCAAGCGAACAATAATCCTAGCAAACAAATGCTATTTTGGATTGAGTAGATTGAGATATGATATGAGAAGCAGAAACTTAAGCCAAAAAACAAAAATAACCATATACAAAACCCTTATACAACCATGGCTGACGTTATAGACTTGGGAAGGTCGAGGCTCTTTTATAGGGCTATAGCACCAATGATGATGATGATGATAATGTAATATACACAGTAAACTGAACTACTAGGAAGTAGGCCCAGGATAGTGATATACTTTGTCTCTCTAAAAATATGGGCGGTAAAAATTTGTAGAACACAGATCGAAATTAAACATAATTTTGGCGACGAAACTTTGCAACGAACCAAATGAAATTAAAATTTGAAAAAACAGAGATAATAAGATAAAACAGATATTTAAGATAATTATATATATCTTACCAAATGGAAAAATGAGTTTCTCGACAAACCTATGTGGTGTTACCATGGACGTATAAACACAGATGGACTCAGTTATTTACATAAAATTGTGAAGTCAAAATTATTTGAATAGGTCACATTCTCAGCACCTTCAACTGTTGTCACGTTTTGTTTTAAAATTTCCTATTCGCGAGTCGCTGAAAATATTACTCCGTATTTTATACTCTACAGGTGCTATCAAACCAAAATAATAATTTATTGGTTATATTAATATATTTAATTGTAATCAAAATATCAAGTGTGCACATAGTGTGCATTATCATTTAATAATAGCGTATAATAGATATCAATCAATTATTTTATATGTAGAAGCACTGAAAACTATTTATAAATGGCAACGGTTGTTTACATTTCTCTGTCTTATGGATCTACGTCAAACTTCAAATGCTGTTCCATGTTTGTTTACTGTTTCGGTAAATGAGGAAAAAGTTATTTTTCGATATTTTGGCTGTATTTTGAGTGATATTTGTGAAAAGTGAAATAAAATAAACGAAATATTTACATCCCGATCTCTCATTTCATTTGTAAGTACATACAATTTACATTATTTAAGATGAGAAAATGAGGAAGCGTGTTTGTTTACATTTTAATAGGCGTACCATTGGGTTTATTCATGTTCATTAATGTATTGAATAAGATATGAGTTCATGAAATTAGTAGACATTTATAAATTGTAAGTAGACATCATCTGATTAAAAAAGATCTGTTTAGTACATTTTTAATTTAATATTTCTCATGGATACAAATAAATTAGTGAAATGAATAAAACTCATTTATTTTTCTATGTAGGTTTCCAAATAATATTGACGATCGAACTATTTGGGTAGCAAATTAAGGAGAAAACATAAAGATTTTTTATTGTAGCATTATTTTGATACTATTACAAAATTAATTTGAATTCAACTATATTTAATTGTATTAATTTTAAAGCAAATAAAATTGTAATTTAATTTTTCTATAAAGACGTGATTTGTTAATAGTTAAACTCTCTCTTTTTTTTAATTCTTTGAACGTGTTTTTATACATTATTACTACTTCCAATTTTTAAAATCTGAATAATTACCCGCGAGTAAAAATTCAAGCACGCTTATGCTCATTGCGGAAGCACCACATTCTATCGAAGCTTCAAAACATTGTGTGTTAAAGATATCTTCTTGCTGTGTCCATCTATGTTTATACATCCATGGGTGTTACCTTTTCCTCAGCAGCACACTGGCTGGATAATGAATATTTTTTTATTTTGAATTAACGTGCCTCGACGTATTTGGTCATTGACACGGAAGCAAAGATTTACAATAGTACCTACAGAGTTATGATACAGAGTGTACAATAGTAAATAAAAACAATATTATGTGAATTATATTGTTGTAACCGTGCCAGTCACAGCTTGTGTAGAGGAGGGACGTTGAACTGAGTAGGGGTCCTTCAGCACTTTGTGCAAGACAAACTGGGCGAGGCAGTCCTGAACCCTGACACGGCGCGTCCCAATGGCCGATAGCAAACATTCCTGTAGATATGCAGGACAGGTATAAATAAAGCTTCGCCAAATAAGTACCCGCGGATCAACTGAGGATATGACACAGGTCAACAGCTGTGTCATTAGTGCCCCGTGGCTGAGGAATACAATTCCTGACAGGTGCGGTTACACAAAGTCGCAGGCGAAAATCAAATACTGATTTAACCAGCTGTGATACTGCGAACACTCACCAACCTGTCCAGCAAGCGTGGCGTTTTAATACCAATATACCCCGCAAAACACAACATGTTGAACTTGAAACAAAATGGGACGATACTCCAGGTGGGTAGAGCTAGCAGCTCAGAATCCCACACCGGAAAACCTGTCAGCCTCACGGATTCTGGGGGAGGCATACGCTCGACAAAACGCATCAAAATAGATACGAACAAACAAAAATAGTTACTACTAGCCACATACAACATCCAATCGATGGCTTAAGATGAAAAGGTCTACGAATTAGAAGAAGAACTATCCAAGATAAAGTGGGATATTGTAGGACTGTCAGAGGGGAAAAGAAGAGGCGAACAATGCATCAATTTAAACTCTTTAAATCGCCTATACTATACAGAGAAACTAGACGAAACATATGGTGGAGTGGGATTTCTTGTCAAAAAGTATCTCACACATACATTTCTACAAAGTTTCTGATACAGTAGCTAATATTATAATAGACCTAGATAATAAAACCAAGATCGAGGTTATACAAGTGTAAGCTCCCACAACAACATATCAGGAAGAGGTAGTTGAAATGTTCTACGAAGATTTAATAACAGCATTATAAGAAAATGATACAAAGTATACCATTATTATGGGAGCTTTCAACGCAAAATTAAGGAAGAAATAAGAAAATACTGAAACTAAAATAGGAGTGCATGGTTATGGCACACGAATTGAAAGAGGAGAAAAATTATATAACTTTTTAGAACAACAAAATTTATATGCCATGAACACAAGTTTCGAAGAACTACAGGCCATGATAACGCAACTATTTCAAGTTTCGGAAAAAGTAGGTCTTAAGATGAACTGGGGAAAAAACAAAAATAATGACAAATACACAAATTTAGAAACAGTAAGCGAATACATCTAACTCCGACAGATAATAAAAGTTAACAAAGAAAATAAAACTGCCGAAATTACCAGAAGAATAACGTATGGTCCACAGACATGGACACTTACCAAGTCTAATATGGATAAAATAGTAAAAGCACAAAGAGCGATGGAAAGATTAATGCTCGGGATGAGACTTATAGGCAAAAAAGCAAACAAATGGATTAAAAGCAAAACCAAAGTAAAAGATGCTGCCAAATTAACATGGAGCTTCGCAGGATACAATGTCTGACTGAAGGATAAGATATAGAACCACGAAATACAATAATGGAGACCATGGTTAGGAAAGAGAAGCAGAGAAAGACCACAAATAAGATGAGGGGATGATATTAAGAAGATTGGAGGACATAACTGGAAGCAAGTGGCGCAAAATAGAAGACACTGGACTGATTTGGGTGAGGTCTATGTCCAAAGTTGAATTACTTAAGGCTGAAGAAGACATAAAACAAGACCCTGTGATATACTCTTGCAAGTCACAGACCCATAGGTGGATTGATATTTACTCTGATTCTCTTTCCCACTTCAATGAACAACAAATCTTTTACTTTGAACAGTTTTTTGTGATATTTTGTAAGCCATAAAAAAATAGGACACTCTAATGTTAAATTCATACTTACGCTGATTATATAGCCTAGTCATGATAAGATCGAAAGGAGTCATAGCAAAACTGATGGCTACTCCTCCTACCATACTCCCCATAAATGCCGTTAGCAACTTTTTATCTTTAAAATAGTCGTACCGTAATAAGTACTGCTTGGAATAATCAAAAGCGAGTAGTTGGGACACGGAACCAATAAATCCTCTAGGCATTGCTGCTGTTACTCCTTGGAAAATACCTCGTACCTAAAAAATGTAGAAGAGTTATGTTATAGCAGAACTTTCTAGAATGTAATACACCTATTTGTAAACATGTGGTCAAAATTGGATAACCTATTGGTGGCTAGGGAGAAGATCGGTGATTTGGGTGGTTACGAGTTGTAGGTCGTGCACCATCACGAGTTCTCGAGAAGTATCTACCGGCAAACCCAGACGGTCGACTCGTGATGACTGATAGATAGATAGAAAAAAAGGAAATAGGTGAAAGAGAATTACATGTTATTGTAATAACTCAGACAGCTAGCTCTGAGAGAGAAGTGTTTTAGAGGTTCGAGATACCAATACACGAGTAATGATAAATGATGGTACCAGGAAGGTATAAGGAACGATCTTTAATAAATAAAACACTACAGCAAGTAGGAAACGACAGTTTTAGAGTCTTAAAGTCTTATTATAAGTCAAAACCGACTTATAATGTGTATAATGTCCTACTTACGTAGGACCAGCGTGGTGAACTAGACTTGTAGTTGAGAGTAAAATAAGTTCCCGCTTCCCATCTATGTAATGTAAACATAGCAAGAAAATAAAGAATAGAAAAAATAAGGGCTGAGTAGCATAGAGAAGATAATAATTATTCAAAATAATTATTATATATTCCAAATTAAATAAAGAACAAATTCGATACAGTAACGTATACATGTTAATCTATACAAAGAAAAACAATTTGACCCAATTAGTTGCATGACACGAGCCAGTATCACTTGCAACAATTGTTCAAAAAAAAGAAAATAGTCACGTTTTCATAAACACAGACCTACGCTGGAAAATATCACTAGCGCCGACCCGGTTTAAATCATGAGGACTCAGCAAAATAAACTAGGAATGTTCGCGGGACATAAAAACTAAAAAAAAATGGTCAACCAGGCAGTAATATTAAGGGAGCGCTCAAGGCATTAATTGCCAGCTCCGTGAGCGCTCGAACGCGATAGCGTCCAGTACGCGATCAGTAATAGCTGGGCACCGTGACTGCTCGAGGCAGTTGATTGCCGGCTCCGGGTCGGAGGCGGTAGCGTACAGTCAGTCGGTATCTTCGGGCAGGGCTGTCAAGGCGAGAGGCGACACCAGGTGCGGATTACGCGCGATTGTTATATTTCGGCGGGATATAGTTCCGTATAAGTGTCGGGTACTGGGAGTTCGAAAATCGCGACAGAGCGCGGTATCTCCGAAAATGAAATCCGATTTCCAGAGGAACTGAAGGGCGTATCATTAGCTAGAGCCTAAATACGCGAAAGGTAACAAAATTCTATACACTAACCCGAGTAAATTATAGTAGTACAGATTGTCACCCCTTTACTTTCTTGCTAAGATCTCTTCTCGTCTCCCTTCGCGCCGAACGAGTTATTATTGATTATATCTGACAGCTTGTTAACTTAATTGTAAACCACATAGTATATTCAATACATTTGTAGACTCTAAATTCGGTTTTTATGTTCCTTCCGGCCGATTCAGACAGAGACCAGGAGAGTACCAAATTTCGGCTTATACATTTATCCGGCTTCTAAAGTACGCCCATAGACTCAAACTCTTTACAGGACCTGACACCTAGAAGCCCTTAAATCCCTATCCCGAAACTTCTCTACCTTCTCGTAAATCCGCGAAGGCGAGCCAGTCATTTCAGACCAGTGGGACCAGTAGCCTTGCAGCCGCTCGCAGGGATAAGCATCCTTAAGGTCCATATCGAGGATGCTACAGTGGTTACAGCGTTGTACAGTGGTGAAGATTTTCTCACCCTCTAGTTCCAGATTTTACATAAGGGGATATAACCTCCCGCTAGTTGTACAGTGGTGACAGTGGAGCGCCCCACTACTTGTACATCTATACCGCTTCCAGCGTGTTTTGCTAAGTTAATATTTAGCGTTAATAGCTAAAGATAGAGATAGTCTTGCCATGTTAGTCGCTAAAATCAAGAGGACTTAAAAAGGAAGGGAGAACATAAGGCGCGTTAAGAAGAAGACTTTACAGGTAGCATTAATGAATTTATAATTGTGAAGTGGTCGAAAAAGAAAAGTTTTACCCAGTTCATTCAAAATTGTGAACTTCTGTTCAAAATTTACCTCGACGTGATTACCCAACTATATTTTTGACAGCAGGATTTGAAGAAAACACAATAAACACCTTTCATTTTTACAAATATCTTTTTTACAGAAAAAACTTTACTTCGGATAGGTGAGATAATAATATAACTCCGTCCCAACTTACCCCATGTTTTTGGAAAATCGTTCTTAGAGCACTCCATGTTCCTGTATGTTTATGTTGATATCCTACTGCGATATTTTGAACAGCTTGTGTCTGAAGATGTGTTTTGATCAGAAACATCGGACTGCTCAAGATCTGTCCCATTGTGCCACCGATGCCAGCTATCATCGCGCTGTTGAATAATATTAGGTTACCGTCTTTGTCGTGCAAAAGACCATTGTTGGCCGATACTTGGTATACTCCTAAAATATTTTAAGATATGATTATAGGTAGAAAAAAAAATCATAGTTAAGCATATATTTTTCACTAAAATGCTCTAAAAAGTGCATAGTTTTTGGCTCAAATAGGGATTTTCAAACAAAATACAAAATTCGACCATATTCAAGACCATAATCACCTAGTACGGTGCTCAACTCTTCCCTGACAGTTCGATGCATTTTTTGTAAAACGAACTGTTTTTGACTTCAAGATTCTGCCAGTTTCAGTAAAAGTTTCCTCATATGATTCTAATTTCTTTCACAAAAGCACACTTTTAAGGTCTAGAGATCAGTTCTGAGTAAGGAATTGAGAGATTCAAACTGCTCTTCATCGTACTTCGACATCGTAATTATCTTCCTCTTCTCCGTTCTTATATGTAGGCTTTAAAGAATGTTTCTTTTCAATATTAGCCTCCTAAATTGTTTAAATTATCGCACCAATTGTTTTTTGGTCTGCCAATACTTCTTCATCCATTTGGTGACTTATCTCGTGCTACTCATACTAATGAATGTTATGAATGTGTTCGTTCCACTCCTGTTTCCGTTTTGTCACCCATCCATTTATGACACCTCTTCCTATGTTCTCGCTTCTCTCTCAATTCAACAGACATTTCTTCTCTGTTGTTTCTAGTAGTCGTCTCGTTTTATATGAGTCAGGTCTTGTCTCCGCCGTGTATGTTAATATAGGTCTAATTGCTGCTTTATAGATTCCTGTTTTTGTGTCTTGCCTTAGGTGTTTGTTCTTCCAGATTGTGCCATTTAAAAATCCCGTCGCTTTACTTGATTTTAATCTTTGTTGTTGTACTTCTTTAACATCTCCATAACTAGTTATATCTATTCCCAGATATGTAAACCTTTCTGCTTTATTGTTTTCCCACCAATTTCGATTTTACTTCGTAGTGGGTATTTAGATGTTGTCATACATTTGGTTTTTTCTGCTGATATTATCATATTGTATTTCTTGGCTGTTGTATTGAAGATGTGTGTTAATCTTTGGTGCTGGTCTTCAGTCTCGACGGTTGATGCGGCGTCGTCTGCATAACATAATATTTGGATTTCTTAAGTGGACTTAATGAGTCATCCTGTCTGACTCCGCTTTGTACTGGTATACACTGTATTAGTTTCACACAGTTAGTTAGTTAGACATCGTAATTGTCTGTATAAATAACAATTTTTTATTTCTTTGGGCCATTCTTTGCAACAACTTGCAAATAAAATGGAAAATAAAAAGCAAAATGTGTATTAACTAAATAAAATTATTATTTTTTGTTATAGTAAACTCTGTTTTGTAAAATCTTACCCAACCTCATTCCATTAAGAAACAGCTGGACCCATAAAGCAGGTACTAATCCCTTTTGTAACGCTAAAACTCCATCATTCTTCACTATATTGTACGTGGCATGGAAGACGTTTCTGTAGTGGACAGCGTGTTTCCCTTTAGCTTGCAATTCCCCCTGGAACTGCATTCTGGTTTTAAGTACCTCCAATGGGTTGGTGAACATGCACGCACCCATCGCAGCCGATGCTGCTAATACGAATTCTGACATGATGGATTGGGGGAAAGTGGGGATTAGAAATGTTCTGAAATAACAAAAAACATTCATAAACACTATAATTATTATCACAGTTATACGTAAATTTAGAAATTTAAAGAAACTTTGTTTTTATTGTACTGATTGCAAAATGGTTTTTTTTCTGGTCAAAGAGTTAACAGCGTCTAACGAAGCGAATAGAATTTTTCAAGAGGAAAATTCTAAAGAGGTTTTGAAACTTACATGTATGAAAGTCACATACAGGGTGTAACAAAAAGGTAGGTCATAAATTAAATCACGTATTCTGAGACCCAAAAATATTTCGATTGAACATAACTTACCTTAGTACAAATGTACTTGGGGCTTGGGGCGCTTTCGGCAAACTAGCACATATCTTGAAAAACACCTCCATTCCTATAAACTTAAAGAAAAAAGTGTATAACACATGCATACTACCTGTTTGTACCTACGGCTTGGAGACAGTAGCACTTACCAAAAAATCTGCCAAAAAATTAGAAACAACGCAAAGAGCAATGGAACGAATCATGCTTGGAATATCACTGAGAGACAAGATTAGAAACACCGAGATACGACGTAGAACGAAGATTAGGGATATTGTGGAAGAAATTACAAAAATGAAATGGCGCTGGGCAGGTCACGTAGCCCGATATAATGACAACAGGTGGACACAGAGAATTCTAGAATGGAGACCAAGGACGACAACAAGAAGCATGGGAAGACCTCAAAAAAGATGGGTAGATGACATAAGAGCGGTGGCAGGCAAACAGTGGATTAGATTGGCGCAAGATAGAGAAAGATGGAAGCAATTGGGAGAGACCTACATTCAGGAGTGGATGGAAAATGGTTGACAAAGAAGTACAAATGTGCACATAAAAAAAGTTACAGCCCTTTGAAGCTACAAAATGAAAATTGATTTTTTCCAATCGATCGAAAACTGTTAGATATTTTATATTGACAATAGACATGTGGCTTTCTTATGGCAGGAATATCTTAAAAAAATAACAGTGAAATTTGTACACCCCATAAAAATTTGATGGGGGTTTTGTTCCCTTAAACCCCAAATCCCTCCCCCCAAATGTTTGTATACGTTCCAATTAAAATATTATTGTGGTACCATTAGTAAAACACAATTTTTGTAACACTTTTTTGCCTATTAGTACTTTTCCGATAAGCCAGTATCGAGTTTTATCGAGAAAGTTTTCTTTTTTTTTATGTGCACATAAAAAAAGAAACTTTTTTTATGTGCACATTTGTTCTAAGGTAAGACACTTGCCTGGTTGCACCAACATATCTTAAGCTTAAGCTGCTTAAGACGTGCCTTAAGCTCAGCCACAGAATACACCAACAACGTTGTTGTGTATTCTGTGGCTCAGCTTACGAAACATACGCGTTGCACCATTGAGTCATTTAAGACTCTTTTCGTCACTCAATCATTGACAAGTTACATGTCAGTTAAGACGTACTTAGATAAGAATCGAAAATTATGGTGCAGGTGCAACGTAAATGAGAGTTAAGGTGCCCTAGCTATAAGCGGAGCTGGGCTAAGCTGGAGCTTAAGATCTGTTGGTGTAATCAGTGCAACCTAGGCTGATACAAATTCAAACTCGGAAAGTCCAACGAATGTCTCTTAAAACTTGACCACTGCCGTAGTTAGCGTACGGAGGTGCCATCTGCTTTGGCGGTCATGAACGAAAACGATTTAATATTATCGTTTCCTTTCTTCTGGGCTATACAAAATGTGTAAAAGATTAAGATTTTAGCCAAAGCTGCTATCGCTTTGTTGAATTAAATGGAAAATTATGTGGCCTAAGATTGTCCTCCTAGGTCATATATTTGGCCATTTAATTCAACAAAGCGATAGCAGCTTTTAGGTTTAATTTTTTATAAATATATATAAAATTAGAATTTGATGTTTATATTGCAAGTAAACTAAATGAAATATTTATCAATTAAATATTTACTATGATGGAATAGCATCATGAGTTTTTTTAAGCTTACAATGGTATTACAAAGGTAAAATTAACTTCACGTAAGCAAATAAAGTATCCTCCAATAAAGTTGTCCGATAAAGAATATTTTTGTGTTACCAAGCAAAAATTAAAAAAAAAAGTTTAAATGTGAGGTTCTGTTTTATCAGAGTCACATTTAAACTTTCTAACAATCAAAAATTTAGTTATTGCCGACAATTCAAAGAATTACTTCCTTTTAAATGTAGTTACATTGGGTTTTTCGGTTAACCTTGGGTAAACCTTTGCGTTTTAACTTCAAAGCTACCATACATTTCCAACGTTAAAAAAAACTTTTTTTGCACATAGTAACAAAAAACACCACTATGTTGTTACTAGCTAAGTTTTTTAACATCCTAACTCAACAATTCTAAGTTACGGTAAGATCAATAATGTTTTTTAATAGATAATATATAATACAGGGTGACAATCGGGACCCGGATGTTTTTAGGACGCATAGTACGAAGCTTGAGGGGAGGAGAGGGGAACAAGCGCGGCGTTACTACGTCTGTAGTAGTGTGCCATTTCAGTAAACATGGAGCACTGGACGGTAGAACATCGCACGTTTACATACGATACGTTTATCCGAAATCAAGAATCCGTGATCATTACGCAACGGCTTTTTCGCATTCACTTTAATATTGGTAGGCGTGGAGCGGTTCCATCTCGCAACACAATCTTAAGATGGATAAAGAATTTTAGAACAACAGGCAGTGTTATGAAAAAAAAGCAACAAGGTCCGAATAGAACAGTAACAACTCCTATAAACATACAGCGAGTGAGAGATGCCGTCGTCAGAAGCCCTACACGATCCGCCCGAAAACATGCAATTGAGCTAAACATTAATCGGGAAACGTTGAGAAAAATGTTGCATAAGGACCTAAAATTTCACCCCTACAAAATGCAGATTGTCCAGAAATTAATGGAAAGAGATGTTGAACAACGTGAGGATTTTGCTACGAGAATGCAAGTTCTTTTGGAGGATAACTTAGGTCAGCATCTTCTAATGAGTGACGAAGCTCATTTCCATTTGGACGGAACCGTTAATAAACAGAACTACAGGTACTGGGCTCCTGAAAACTCACGAAATATTCATGAGCGTCCTTTACATTCTCAAAAAGTCACAGTGTGGTGTGCCATTGGTCCAACTGGCATTATTGGGCCATATTTTTTCGAAGAGGCTGGCCAATCCGTCACCGTTAATTCTATTCGCTACGTTGACATGATCCAAAATTTTTTGGTTCCAGAACTACGCAGAAAAGGGATAAACCCAAGGAATGTGTGGTTTCAGCAGGATGGTGCCACGGCACATACTGCCCATGCTTCAATGAATATTCTCCGCAACCTGTTCCCAGGACAACTCATTTCACGTTTTGGAGATTTACCGTGGCCTCCAAGGTCTCCAGACCTGTCAATTTGTGATTTTTTTCTATGGGGGTATTTGAAGAGTCGTGTATATGCTAGCAAACCTCGTAATTTGATCGAGTTGAAGAACGCAATCCGCCAGGAAATCCGGACTATTGATCGAGCGATGTTAGAGCGTGTTATGGAAGATTTCATAAAGAGGATCGAAAACTGCATCCAACGTGATGGTCACCATCTTGATGACATTATTTTCCATAATTAATTAGATTGTAAATGGCATAATATAAGCTTCATTTTGATGTTAATAAAATAGTATTTTCTTGCAAATTTCTTGTGTATTCATTTAGTTCAAAATCGTCCTATTGCCAATTGTATATGGTAGCTAATTATAATTTATTCTCTTTCAGCCCTGAAGAAGCCAAATTAATTCTCATTGGCGAAAACGTTCGGCGAAACAATTGATACTCATTATAGTCTTTCTTGCAGATTTCCCCA